TATTTTAAAACTGGTTTTCATTTGAAAACTTCGAGTCTTAGCTGTTAAATTTTATTAAGGTGAGGAAAAGAAAACATGTTCTCAACATTTGAAAATATAGTCCAGATGTTTTGATTATTATATTGATAACATATTTTATATCTACTTGCTGATTTACCATCATAATCTCTCTTCCACTTCATTAAGGATTAATACAAACTGCATAAGCTTACATATATATATTTTTTATTTCCAGTAGGCTGTTTTAGTCTAAGTTACCTTATACTTAAATATCTAATCTAATGATACATTTTCAGGTCCCATTACATTTGAAAAGTTTGTTTCCTCACATCTAGCATTTTATTGTATCATTTTCCCTTCTTTTTACTAAGATAAATGCATTTATAGGAAATATTCCTTTGTACTTACAAAGTAGTCAGACAAAGCAAACGAGATTTATCTTCTAGCATCGACATTCCGCTGCAAGTTGCTCATATCTCCTGTTTAAATTAATGACACAGTGACACAAGTTCTATAGTATTGTTTCCTGAGTGAAATCGTTCTCAAACGTGTCTGTGATTAAGCAAAAATCAGGTGCGAAGCACCTTTTTTTCCGTAAAATACTCAAAAGTGAAAAACACTTTTTGCTACGTAATTATCATAACGTTTTAACTGAAACTGAGTTTTTACAATTGCATTTATTGACTTCATTACTTTATTTGTGTATTTAAAACTATTAGTTTCGCAATACACTGAAACTAATCTCAAAATGCGTAATGATTCTAAGTTATTGAAATCTCTCGAAATAGTATATTTTTGATTTAAATTTTAACCATTTGGTCAGGCGTGTATCGAAAGATTCATATTTCGCATCGTACTACCACGACAAAACATAAAATACAAAATCTTACTTCGCGCTTTATGGCCTAGGGTGCGTTATAAGAAGAATAGTCAAATCCCACTATTTAATTTGAGTAGCTCAAAAGTTTGCAGTGAGTGCTGCGGACTGGCTGTTTTATATTTAGCCTATCAATTATATGGTTCTTGTGTAAATTTGCACGAATTTCCGAAATTAGATAAATAATTCGCTCAACGCTTTAATTTTTTTACTGAGGTCTGTTCTATTTATGCGTGCCAGTAAAAGTTTGAACAAGAATAACCATATATAAATTAACCACGGTTAAAATTTCCCGTCACTCCTTTGGGCTCAGCAATTGTTTTCTTTTTTTAAATAAGTTATGGCCCGGCATGGCCAGGTGGTTAGGACGCTCGACTCCCAATCTGGGGGTCGCGGGTTCGCTTCCCCGTCCCACCAAACACTTTTCAGCCGTGGGGGCGTTATAATGTGACGGTCAATCCCACTATTCGTTGGTAAAAAGAGTAGCCCAAGAGTTGGCGGTGGGTGGTGATGACTAGCTGCCTGTCTTACACTGCTAAATTAGGGACGGCTAGCGCAGATAGCCCTCGTGTAGCTTTGCGCGAAATTCTAAACAAACAAATAAGTTATTTAAGTACTTCTATGTTCCTTTCTCACTTTATTTTCTTGTTTAGCAGCTTAACTTTCTTCTGTTTTTTTCTCAGTGAAGTCACTCGCCTTCAAGTGTTGCGATCGGATATCTCACAGAGAATCAATACGTAGAATAATCTTCGAATTAATTCTCATATTACACTCAGAGTCATTGGCATTCAAATACACGTGCTGACTTCCACGTCTTGAGTTGTCTTCCACTACATGATTAATTCCGAGTGTGAATTTTCCTTCTTCGTCACTACCGACGCTAGACACCCAACGTACTTTTCATCTTCTGTACCTTACTTCTTATTAAAATCCGAATTAGATCACTTTGTGTAAGTCATAAACAAATAATGATGATTTCTTTCTGCGTGTAGTGTTTATAATCAAAATAAATCAAACACAACCACGACTGTTTCGGAACAGAAAAATAACATTATGTTGATATCCTTTTCTTTTTCTTTTTAGTAACTTTGAAGTATTAATTCCAGATCTGGAATTAAATATAAATTGATGTAATTATATTGAAATAAGAAAGTTGCAGGTAATGCGTTATTTGTCGTTAAATTTAAGGATATTTGATAAGAAGGTACTGAATATTTATGGAAGTTTTGAGTCCTTTCTAATTCATTATGTAGTAACCGAAATTAAGCGTATGAATAATATAATGGATTGCATCTAATTTATTTTTCAATAATATATATGGCGGACTAAGTGTTTGATTATTTTCAGCTTTTTTTTCGACAAATGTAAAAACGAAAAAAAAAAAAAGTGACAGAGTTCTAATTTGTTCCCCAGGGGCTCAGCTGTAAGTCTGAAAGATAATAGCGCTAAAAACCTGATTTCGATGCCTATGATAGGCAAAGTGCAGACAGCTGGTTGTGTTGCTATACGCTCGACAACAAACAACCCTAATACATTATTTGATTAGCTGCACCCTCTGCTGTGGACTGACACACGCTGTGCTGATGAGTCTTGAACAGGCGAAACTGCAGTCCACAGTACAGACTACATCAGGACTACGTCACAAATTACATTTTCGATTTTACTTTTGGTGAAAAGAAAAGGAATCTGTGATAAAATCCTTAAACAGTTGGTCCGCTGTATAATATCAAAGGAGATATTTAATTATTATATGTGGTAATATACAAACAGCTCGACATAGATCATAAGAAAGTATTTGTGATTTTTACGACTGGAGACAAATACTGGATATCGAAATTTACAATTTTAGTCTATATTTACAATATTATTTTGATAAATTATTTGTTTGTTTGCAGTTAAGCACAAAGCTACACAATGGGCTATCTGTGCTCTACCCACCACGGATATCGAAACTCGGACTCTAGTTGTAAGTCCGCAGACATACCGCTGTGCCACTGGGGGAATTTTGACAAATACTGATAAAATTTTATTGGTATATATGCGATTTGTCTATTGAATTACATTGAAAAACGTCATAAATATAATTAAATAGATATTTGTTGCCCAGAATATTAAACTAATCCAATCATGATAATTAAGTTTAAAAAGGCTATCACACATATAACAGCGGTAGTAGATTATAGCAAAACACTTGGTTCGTTTAATGTTTAAAAAAGTTGATATTGAGGCTATTTCGGTGCTTCATGGATTCGTTTTGTTATAGGTCAACTCCCGAAATGCCTTGCGCGCGTTTCCATTCTAAATAATGTTATGATTATAATTCATCGGAATTTTAACTCCACAAGTTAGTTGTATGGGTATAATTTACCTAAATATCTGAAAACCTAAAACAACAAAAGATAAGTCTGTCCTATATACCTGGTTTATTTCGTAAATCTTAAACACGATATCTCTCCATCAACCAGAAGCACTTCGGTGGCAGAAATCGGAAATAATAAATCTGGGATTTTATTTGACTTTGGTGAGACTTATAAAATATATAGCGTACGATGAGATATGACGATTACAATTTACAGTTTACGTATCGAACAAACATTTACCCAGTTATGACTGGCCGAAACATCGGCAGACGCCCCATACTTAATGACAATACTTGTGATGTAACCAACGGGTTCGCTATTTGAGACTCCTGCTTCGCCCGCCATTGCATCTATTCTTCAAACCAGAGCCCAACAACCCTTCAGCAGATACACAAGCCCTGCTGACCGTGACTGGAACTTTGCTACTCTTCGGTATGTCATCAGTCACAATTATTCCCTCCATTACCTGAATGTGCAATGTTCCGAGATGTTCAACTTTCAACCTGTGCAGCCGCTGTGAATGGGACTACGGTGGCCTTTTTGACAGCCCTTTCAGGCAAATCCACCTATCAATCCCAAAGATGGTGTAGTCTTCCGCAAGGTTGGAAGATCAATATATCCAACCTCAAACAGACAATGATGAAAGGTCGAATAATTTGATTTGAGAATCAAAAAACAGATAATCAGTTCGTGTGTGCAACTGTTATGGGCAAGTCGGTTAGGCCACTCGGAAATTTGTCTCTTTGAATACTCATAACTCCTGACTAAAATATGTTACCATCATAAGGATTACATATTTTGATACAGCTGATTTAGAAATTTCTAACGGTGTATGCAACACTTCCAAGAAACAATTACTGAAATTTCTTGTTTCTTGTTCTGTCACCTCTGATTGAGGGGGAGAATCTGTGTTAATATTTTAAAAAATCAACACATGTGTAAACCCATAAATAAAATTTAATCACTTATTGTATGTTTGTTTGTAATTAAGCACAGAACTACACAATGGGCTATCTGTGGTCTGCCCATCACGGATATCGAAACCCGATTTCTAGCGTTGTAAGTCCGCAGATACCACTGTGCCACTGGGGGCTAATCAGTTATTAATTAAAACTAAAGATAAAGTAAATATACGTGAAAACAGCTATGTACAAAATAATTTATGAATGTTTATACGTAGGACAGACTCATAGGAATATAAAGTATAGAGAGAACGAACATAAGCAGTTTTAAAAATAAGACAATAGATATTTTACTATTAGCTGAACATGTTGATATAACCCAACATACGATCCAGTGGGATAAAATTAGCTCAACCTAAAAATGGCGATACCAGAAATATTTGTGAATCGTTCGAGATAATTATATCTCAAAAGAAGAAGAAAACAATGAGAATGTATTAAAGATGAGGGAATCAACGAGACGGAATGCATATAAGTAGCGTGATATCCTGTAATAAACATGTAAAATAAGATATTACATGACTGAACAGAAGATATAAAAAGTATACGAGATCTTGCGAATTACACACCTGAAGATGACGCGTTGAGACGTATAGAGTGGATTTGAAAATGTGGATCAGTCTCAAATAAGAATATTTTTCACTTTATAAAACAAAAACAAAACGTTGTTGATTAGTTTAATTTAATATGTTCTTCTAAATTATATTGCAGTCTAAAATACGTTAGTGTTAAGAAACTACAATTACACACTTCAAATGTTAAAATTATCACTGTTAAAGCATGAAGTGCACGACACAAAAGTATCATTTGACAGAGAAATGCTTTTATTTTTAGAAGTTGTGAAACAAGACAAACATCAATATTCATTAACAACAAATTGAACCGTTGTAGTTCTACTTCCACATATAGCTATAACAGTAAAAACAACCGCCTTGAAATCTTATTAACACATTTCCAATGCCACACCGTTCATTTTACAGAAGTTTTTTATTTATTTCTATTAATTTGCAAAGCATAACTTTTCAATTATTTTTCGAATGGAAATGATTTTTTTTTGCAAATAATGTTCATTCAACACGACCTCAGATTAGCCAAATGCATCTGAGGAAGCAATAAATAGTTCATATAAATTTTCATCAGAGAAATGTTAGAAAACATGAATTTAATGTAACATAATACTTTTCCAATTCAGAATCAGTAAGTTAACGTTATCGCTAACGTTCAATAGCTTAATACGATATGTTTGTAGAACGCAGCGCAACGTTTTTCTTTTTGTTGTTGTTATTTGAACAACAATTTTTACAACGTTCTGATATCCAATCAGTGACTACCTTATTTTAACATAGAGTTCTAAGCAGGAAAGCAGATCTAATTTTGGTAAAAGCACTTTGACTTGCTGATACCTATTTCGTACAGTAAGAAAATACATTATTGCTGTAACAATCCTGGAAATACGTCTAGATATAACGTTAAACACAAAAGTTTGTTTTGGTGTTCTTATATGCAACTTATAAGTGCAACTGAACATTTTTTTTTCCAAGGACTTAATACTTCCTAAGCTATGGGTGATTATAAATAATAGAATACAGCTAAAAGGGAAGTTTCAGTAGAGACGCGGTTACACAGACAAATTAGATATAGTTTTAATATTAATTTCGTGAAACTCTCCTTCCTCAGTCGACCAGCTCCTCAACTTGTAAACACGCTGAACGGAGAAGGGACCAAAATGGCTTTTCCTTTCTTCTAGTTTCTGCAACTTCGGCCTCGCATATTTCAGGCTGTAGAAAGGAAAAAACTTTAATAGCTACAAAACAAACAGGTTGTGAAAGTCTTATATCACTTCAGAAAAATGATTAATTAACGTTCTCTATGTTATCTAAAAACCACGCTATTCTCAACTAACACAGTTCACAGGATATTGCAAAGTTTTCCAATGATTACGTAGCAGTCAACACATAAAGTACTATAAAACAGTTTGTGGTAAACATTTTGGTTTTTGAATTTCTCGCAAAGCTACACGAGGGCTATCTGTGCTACCCGTCCCTAATTTAGCAGTGAAAGGCAACTACTTATCACCCACCGCCAACTCTTGGGCTATTCTTTTACCAAAGAATAGTGGGATTAACTATAACATTATAACACCCCTACGGGTGATAGGGCGAGCGTGTTTGGTGGGACGAGGATTCGAACCCGCGACCCTCAGATTGCGAGTCGAGCGCCCTGACCACCTGATTACACAAGTCATAATATAAAGGGTTGTAAGAAAATCTAAAAAGACTCAGAAATTCGATCGTTTTTGAATAATTGGCTATTCTTCTTCAGGAAAAAAAATAAAAAGGTTGCAAGAAAATCTCTATGCAAAACGAATATGATAATTGATAGTCTGCGGACAGAACCTACTGAATCCGGTTCTATTATTAATTTCTTATAAACAGTTGGAGAAAGATAGAGTTGCCAAAAATATGCTTCACAACAACAGAAATTTATGCTAACCTTATATAATATAACGAAACTACTATAAGATTAATAACCCAGCAGTCAGGCCAGTGGAAACGAAACAGTCACAAAAATAGTGATTTGAAAATGTATGACATACCAGGATTGAAATGGCAGATCTTTTTACTGGTTACAACATAAAATTAATTTTGCTGATGAATGCTGAAAATTGTATAAATATACCATTTAAGCCTACAACATACGAACAGTTATTATACAGAGGATACTTGTGATGTGTGTGTTTACACATCAAGAAATGTACTCAGTGTCTGCTGCTTCTGTTCAAATTACCTTACTTTTGAAATAACGATTAGGTAGATAGAGAAAGAGAGAGACGTTAATCGAAAATACAGGCTATACAAACATACTATAAGCTTTTCCGTGCTCTTGCATTCTTAGATATCTAACAGTATCAGGAGTTAGCAATGTTACTCGTAAATTAAATTAATTAACGATAAACAACGTATCAAGTTGGTTGTTTTAATACTTATCTTACAACGTTCTTCAGCTAGAACATTCACACTGAACTCTTATAAATATAAAAATATTAGTGAATCTTGTTTACTTCTAATTTGAATGCAGTAACAGTAACTTTCAAAATTAACAGGTATTGCAAATATAAATATTATGTTTCAATTTTACTGTGGGCAAGTTTAGCAGTCGCAGTAAAAGTTTATGATTACCTATGTAAGTTGTAAAAATTGTATTTTAACCGTTAATCCAGTAAGTGTAAACATATAGGTTTATTTAAATGCAAATTATATATGTAATATAAAAAAATGTAATATAAGAACAGAGACAAAAAGCATCGAACGTAGAAGAAGTAAATAAAACTAGTGTACAAATACAATTTGGGAAAGGTAAAGTTAACCTTATATAGTAAAAGAGGTATTGCAAAAGCAGGATCCACTCAGTTGTAATAATACAGTTTCTGTACACACACACACACACACGTGGACTTTTAACTGCTAAATGATACGCGAAAAATATTTAGTCCTACGTTCGCAGAAATAGTACAGAAAAAGCACACAAATAGTTTTTAATCACTAAGTTAGTGACAGTTAACAGTAAAGTGTATATTTTCATGATTTCGAATGTGAAGAATGATGACGTCTTTGTCTTTCATGTTACTGAAAGTAACATTTCTAAGGCTCTGACAATAATGACGAAAACCTAGAATGATATGTGATTGAATAACTAAAAATTAGTGACAGTATCATAACGGGCATTTCAAGCTCTAGTGTAGTATGGAACTTAATTATTAAAACTATGTTATAACAGCTAAAACTCTTAGATAATACACAAGTGATTTTCAAGCTTCGTAGGGTACATGGATGATATGTGGAGATGTAGAATAATACATAATTGAATTATTAAAGCTGTGTTTTGTATATGTTTAAGCCCTGAGACAATACTGGGCTGGACGAATAAATCTCTGAATCATTATAAGAAATTATAACTAAATATCTTAAATAACATAGGAATGATTTTCAAGCACCGTAGAGTACAGAAATACACTGCGAAAGTGGGATATGAGTAGTAAAGACCAAGGATAACACACTACCGAATGATTGTAGCTGTATTGTGCATATTTTAAAGTATTGGGGTAGTACTGGAGAGAGCATTAACGTTCTAAGATAGTGAAAAATAGATAGTTAAAGCAATGGAATAATATAAGAGTGATAGAATAAAGAAAATACCTAAACGTCTAATGTATTAGTTGAAAGTCAAAGCCTAAGGTAGCCCAAATAACATAGAAGTGGATGATAAAAACTCCAGTATAATTTAGGTATGAATGTTTTAAGCTTTGAAGTATGAATATGTGTGAATGGTAAAAATTCGTAAACAATACACATGATAGATAGATGTCTCTTACAGTGAAGAAGTGGATAATACAAGAACTACGTCAGAATATGAGCTAATATTTAAAGCTCTAATATAGTGTATTAGTGGATTGTATAATCTGTAATGTAGTATAGAAATGGACATTTAAAACTTTAAAATCTAATAACACGGACGGAAATATTCCTAGGATAATGTAGGAGTAAGTGTAAAGTTCTACGGTAATACAGGGCATGGATGGTACAAGTCCTACAGTATAATAGGAGATGGTGTAAGAAGGAGCACGAAGGGGTGTTAAAAACGTTGGAGTAGAAAGGAAGAGGCAAAATAAGCTCGTAGGACAGTACTGAATGGCATCAAGCTCTAGGACAGTACTGAATGGCTGTATAAAGCTATAGGATAGAACAAAATGGACGTATAAAGCTCTAGGATAGTACTAGATGGCTGTATAAAGCTCTAGGACAGTATTAGAGTTACTAAATAGAAACTAAGTGGCTAAATAAAGCATTAATACAGTGTCGGAACAATTAGGGCAATAAGGGAATGGATTGATAAAGCTCTTGGATAGTAGGCGAGTGGCTAAAGAAAACTAGCAAAGTATAGAAGCGGTTAAACAATTTTTAACATAAAAATCACTAATTTTGATTGATTTCAGCGTGCTCCGAACGAAAATATAAGTGATTATGAACTTCCTGAATTTTTTGGAGTTTAAAACGACATTCATAACTCCAGAGGGGAAGTAGAAATATATTTTAACAAAATTGGCCCAATGTAAACCTTGAAATTTCATTAGAACTGTAGTTTTATCGATTTTAGCCAATCACAGTTTCTCAGCCTCAGTTGTCATGGTATGATGCAATTGTCTGTATCTTCTCCTCTAGAAGTCGTAGGCTAGTGATCTAAACATATAACGAAAGTTTTTTTTCTGTTCTTTTCAACTATATAAGCTAACTTATAAGGTTTTGACAAAGATTCCAGTAGAAATCGGAACACAATAATGAAATCTTAGCTCGGTGATATGTTGCTAGAAAGCAAAAAAAATTTTGTGTACAACTTTCATCCAAGATAGAGGCCTGATTTTTTTTAAAGCTTGATTTACCATTTTATCCTTCATTTACTTATATATAACATTACAGTATGATAGGAAATATTCTTTGTTTTATGTAACGAAATCAGACCTAAAAATCTGGCTTAGTTAAATCGTTTTGACGCTCAACCGTATCTACTTTATTTTCCTCTACAAAGTTAGTGTTTGTTAGGCCATGTTTACATTTGGCCTTACTGGCCTGAGTAACTGCTTCAATGAGCAAAACAAAATCACCAGAAATAAAAGTAAACAAACATAGATAATATAGAATAAGTTTAAAACTTAAATATACCTAAAACCCTCATGATTAACAATTTAAAAAATCGTCTTTCTTATAATTTTTATATGGTAAATTTTTCTATTGTACGTCAGTAATGGTAAACACAATGAATCTGCGTGCGGTGTTTTACGAATGAAAACAAACACACCATTTACAGTTCTATAAAATAAAAACTTAATTGAAACGTTTTAAAAGAATGTAGAGAAAACGAAATTGGTCTTGTTTGTTTGTAGTTAAGCGCAAAACTACACAATGTGTCATCTGTGCTGTGCTCACCATGGGTATCAAAACCCGTTTATCAACGTTTTAAATCTTCAGACACTGAGAGGAGGCAGTAATTGGAATCTACAATAACGGTTATCATTTTTAACTTTTTCTCATACAGCACATTTCATAAACTTGAGAATTCACACAAATCTCGCATTTAAAGATATTTTATTTTAGAGAAGCTACATAATCTGTATAAAAGGTCACCTCAAGTTTCTAACAATTCAATCCAATAATGTTTTTGTTTGTTTGTTCTTTTTTCCCATACAACAGAACAAACCATAGGCGTTTTAAGGTAAAGCTCTAAGACAGTAATGAAGTGGCGAGTAATGAGCTAGGCTAGCATAAAATGGTTAGATAAAGCCAGAGGCGTCGCTAGGTATGATTCGGGGCTCGAGTCTATAGTCGTGGGGATTTTCGGCGTTTCACTATGGAATCGATCATGGTTTTTTTCTGATTTTTCAAGACACCAACTGGGAACTCGGGGCATGAGCCCCCGTGTGCCATTGCCTAGCGACGCCTCTAAATAAAGCCTTAGGATATTGTGGAAGTGGCTAAATATAGCTTTAGGATAGTGTGGAAGTGGCTAAATATAGCTTCAGGATAGTGTGGAAGTAGCTAAATAAAGTATTGAGATAGTATGGAAATGGCTAAATAAAGCTTTGGGATAGTATGGAAATGGTTAACTAAAGCCTTAGTACAGTATAAAAGTGGCTAAATATTCTCTTAGTACAGTATAGAAGTGGCTAAATAAAAGCTTTAGGATGGTGTAGAAGTGGCTAAATAAAACTTTAGGATTGTGTAGAAGTGGCTAAATATCTTTAGGATAGTAAGGAAGTGGCTAAATAAAGCCTTATAATACTCTAGAAATGGCTAGATATAGCTTTAGGATGGTGTAGAAGTGGCTAAATATAGCTTTAGGATAGCGTGAAAGTGGCTAAATATAGCTTTAGGATAGTATGGAAATTGCTAAATAAAGCCTTAGGATACTGTAGAAATGGCTAAATATAGCTTTAGGATAGTGTGGAAATTGCTAAATAAAGCCTTAGGATACTGTAGAAATGGCTAAATATAGCTTTAGGATAGAGTGGAAGTGGCTAAATAAAGCTTTAGGATGGTGTAGAAGTGGCTAAATATGCTTCAGGATAGTGTGGAAGTGGCTAAATATAGCTTTAGGATAGTGTGGAAGTGGCTAAATATAGCTTTAGGATAATGTAGAAATGGCTAAATATAGCTTTAAGATAGTATGGAACGTTACAGGAGTTGACGGTTTAAACTCAGTGGTCATATTTGACTAAGCAAAACTATGAGATAGTATAAGAGTAATCAAATGATATAAGACAAATGAAGAAAAAACGACAAAGACTCAAACAAAAAGTCGTGATGCTTAGTTATTTTTTTAAAAACATTATGTATAAGAGATTCTTCAAGATTTGTATTATATAGCTCCTAGGGTCGTATACCACTAGAGGTTTGATTAGACTCAACTGAATTAGTTATATTAAGACTATGCATTACTGAAGAGTTACAATTCGAGTATAGTATAGGATATACAGTTCACTAGTTTGTAACAGCGTTAGTAAAAGGTGAGGGATAAGAACCATACCTCTAGGCTTGCGAGAGTGGCATTTTTCTGGACACAGTCTTCTGTTGCTACCAAAGCAGGCTGCACTTTCAACGTCATGTAGTATCTTACACCATCTTTCGGCTTCTCCTGCAACATGAAAATCGATAAAAATATACGCTGACTCTAGTCTGTTTAACGGTAAGCGTGAAGATGGTATTATTTACAAGTGTGTGAAGAGCGTTGTATTTGGGTTTCTCGTCAATTTTATTCGGTCGTGAACATTATCCGCGTGGTGGTCTTGAAAAACAACAGCAAAAAACTTTGATTTCTTGCTGAAGAAGAACTGTTAAAATCCAGTTGTTCAACATAAAATATAGCCCGTTCCCGATTTTATTTCAGGTACGAATTAATCCTCAATAAAATTAATTTCCTCGACGTATATTATTACGCTTCACAAAACGGCAACGAAAACTTGCTAACTTTAAGCATGGCTAGTGACTGGGACAGAAGTTAAAGAAACACGAGAAAAACAGCCTTACTTAAGCACTACATGGTTCATTGACCTCTTCCAGAGACTTATCTAACAGTCAGTAAGTGCAAACAGATTAAGAACGAAAACTGCCGAATCGGCTGTTGCTTACTATATCAATTAATGATTACAACAGTTTGTCTTACATTGAAGTATCAAACTGTGAGATCAGTAAGAAACCCATTACAAATCGTTTCAGAATAATAAGAGTTATCTAAGGGTTGATTATTAGATACCAGACAGATGTTGCTTTATGTTATTTCCTTGCAATAAAAAACAACGTTTTACGAAACGTAACGTGTGGCTCCTAATTCTAGAACATGATACCAATTTTATCTATTACGCGACATCTTTTCAAAAATAAAGGTAAAAATTTGTTAAGGCTTTCCGTATAGCTTTCTATAGAGAAATAACGTGAGCGTCACTTTATAAATGATCATGCATTTCCACATGTTATGCAATATTGCTAGGTTCTTCTGTGAGTATCTAACGGATTGTTCATGCGATGCTTTCTATCTGATTATGAAGCATTTTGAACATAACCATCTGCTGTCTGAGTACGGTTTCTAGTAACATTTGCATTAGTCCTAGGGATTTTTGTGTAACTCTATCGAATTTTGTAATGTTACATCTAGAGCTTTTCGCACTACTTTTTAGTGTTTATATGGTGTGTAAATATCAAGAGTTTTGAAAATGATTGTTGTTTTTATTGGATCTGAGTTTTATGCTGGACTATATAGATCTTCAAACGTGAATATATCCAGAATCTTTCGTCTAATAATCTAGCTATATGTGTATATCTAACTCTTAAAGTATGAACTACCTATAGTGTGTTCAGCTGGACTGAATAAAGCATTTTGTTGTGCCTGATTGTAACAAGTTCTACAAAAAGCTAACATTTTGAATCAGGCATTTTGTTACAGTTTATTGATTAACACATTTCCTATCCGGTGCTTTATGCATTAGTATTATAAATCGTGTACGACTATCTTACGCTTTGGATGTAGAAAACTATCTAACGCTCTAAGAGAGTATCTATTTATGCGTGTTCTAATCTACCACTTTATGCATAAATATTTTGGAATTTTATACGACTATCCTTCTCTTCATGAACGACTACAGATCTGTACACGTTCATACTTAATACTTCGCAACCTTCTTTATATATATTTAAAGATTTGTAAGCTGACTCACTTTGACTTTAATTGAATTACAATTTTCAAAATGACCAGTACCTTATGTGGCACGTGGACTAAACGGTCAAGTCAGACAACCTCTATGGTTCATGTATAACCGTCCCTAATTTTGTTTCACTGACCAAAGAGAAGGCAGCCAGTCAACAACACTGACCACCATAAGAGCGTTGTTCGGCTCTTTGAATCTAATATCACTAATGACCATCGCTTTCATAATGCGCCCATATGTGAAAGTGCGGAGCGTGTTTAGCCATATAATAGCTTGAATCTTGGACCCTTCGATCTGCAGCCGGACTTATTAAAAACAATTCTGTGCATGTCTCTTATTTTTTTAAATACCAAGCACTTTGTGTAAAGCTATCTAACCATTTGTACGGACTGTGTAGCGCGCTCGAAACACGTGGAAACAAAAACGTATTTGGGAAAAGAAACATTTCAAACTGCGTTATTCAAAAATATTCATAAAATGTTCCATACCACTCGATAAATATAAACTGCAGTTTCCAAACTTTGAACATGAAAGACAACTTCAAAGCAACTGTCGCTTATATTCTCAACTTCGTTGCACTCACAAATGTATGTATACACATCGAAAAAACATCACATGGACTGAAAAAATTATTCATATATTCTGAGCGTTTTACCCGTGCCAATATAGCGATTGCTGTTGTCAAGCATGTTAGTCTCTTGAGTTCGAAAACGATGTTAACTTATCAAAACTAAAATCAGGACAACCCTGAGAGAAATAAGAAGTTAGATGGAAGTTACCTGTGCTGTCGAATAGATGTCTTGTTTGGATTTATACGTACGATAGAAAGCATAGTGGACAACCCACTATTAAATAAAAAATCTAAACACTTATTTCTGCATCCTTTGCGTTTGAAAAACATTTAAAAATCCGCAGCTTAAAAGTCGTTAAAGAAATACGACTTGAAATAAAAGTGTGTGTTAAAACCTCTAGTACATAGCATCAACTTTTGGTCATTTTGTCAAAACATCTATATCTGTCTCATATCAGAGTAATAATGATTACACTGAACATATATTGTTGGCTACGTACGCATATGGCGCTGGTAGAAGATACCGTTTCAAATTTCCATCATTGTTTCTTACATGTCCCACAATATTTACTTTTTATCATACCCACTTCAATATTGTTAACTGGCGGCGTTCCCTCGAGAGGCAGACAAACGGCTGTATGACACATACCAAAGGCTTTTATTTTATTTATGTGCGATTTTGAGAAGAGGCTACACTTCCTCTGATGTTTTTTGGTTTGATATAAACTGATAAATAAGAAGAAGGCCGGTCATAGATAACGTAAGACTTTCATATATTTTTCATTTGAATGTACTATAAAAAGAGATTAGTCTCCTACAATCGATTCTGCTCTGACAGAAAAAATCTTGGAGCGCAATAAAGGTATCATTCATTTCATTCGCACGAATTCGTGTTTAAAAGAAATAACTAAAACAGTTACAACTTCCAAAACTTGTCTGTACAAAATACAGCAGATAAGCCCATTACTTCATATACTACTGTAATTATAATTGATTGAAACCAAGTCAAACTATACATTATTATTTTCGGTCAAATTTTAATTTAAAAAAAAATTAAATTATAATTCACCATGTAATTGAAATTTGATAGACTAGGAATAAAAACAAACTGATAAAACCGAAACACCGAAACGTTCATGTTAATAAATGTATTGTTTTTGGAATTACTTGTAATTAAAGTTTAATCCAAGAAACACAAACTTAATACACTTTAATTAGTATTACGTAACTTTAAAATAAATGTTTAATTAAAAATTCATTTTGACAGAGTTAAACAATGAAAATATGATCTAATTCTGTTGTATATTTCCCACCCACCTCACCTCCCAACGAAAGTTCTGAAGGCTTATAACGCTAAAATTCGGGTCTCGATATTCGCAGTGGAAATATTTAAGAAATAGCTTAGCCTAATCATGTTTAAGTTCTAAAACCTGTGGGTGAGTAAAAAAACCAAATTAAAAACGTATATGCTTGATAGGTTCTAATATATTCATCTTTAAATTGTATTCTCAAAACAGTCCTCAGTATATATTTTCAAAAATAAAAGCCGTAGGGTAAAACGACCAAGCCTAACAAAAACAAGGACAATCACATTACTGCTGAGTATAGTTAGACTTATTTGAATTCATCTAAAGATTTCAAATCAGAAGGGTGTAAAAATAGCATCTCAAAGCTATAGTTTGTCTACTACAAGTCACTTTACAGGAAGTGATTTGTTCAATACCAGACCTCATCAGCTAGGAGAGACCCATGGTAGTCAAAAGCCTATTTCAAATGCTAATTGTATGCATCATTGCAAAGTATTTAATGGTGTGGCATAAGATGACAAACTTGTTTGCAACTTGTACGTCATCATTAGATCATAGCTTATAATGATCTATTGGATGTTCGGAATCACCCGTTTATCATGTATAAAGGCAAACAGTCATTGTCTACAATCTTTATCTCGTCAAAAGATGTATAGTTTATCTCACACTACTCGTCTCTTAGAAACACCCTTTTATCTCATGTGAAAGCAGCGTGAAGGTGGATGCTTTATGCTACATGAGGCTGCCGTTCACTTTCTTATATTTACTCCTTTTTACAGCTTTTGCATAAAATATAATTTAGAGACATTGTTGCTATAGCTTAGTTTACCGCTATCAATATTGACCAGAACGTGTATTTGTTATGGTCAGTTGTATGAATGTAAATTGTATTTATAGAAAATAGAATTTACTTAAGCTTCCGCAATAAGAAATCTTGTAAATTTCTACTGAAGCTTCTTCTATCACTATTTTAATTTGACGAAGTGTTTTCGATCGCATTATTTCGAGTATAATTTAGAGGAGAATTAATACGACTGAAAATGTTCTTCGAGTTGTACTTTAAGGTAAGTATCAAATATCGGAAATTTAAAAAAAAAATATTTAATTTTGTATTTGAATTCAATAAAAAATTAAATCAAGGCAAAGAATCTCGTTTATGTTGATAGTTTTAATTGCCGTCTTGATTAATGTTCCATCGAATTGAAAATCAAAGTTTAATAATTGTTATATTTCCAATATTCTTGTCATTTATTTTCATCATTTTATCTAATGTATAAATTATTTTGGGGTTTGTTTGGACATTAACCTACTGCCTACAATGATAACTGATTATTGATTAATTTCAGTTGGGAATATTATCTATAAGCGTTGTATTCCGTAACGTTAGTTTTGTACTTTACTACATTAAATATTTCATAACTTTATTCTCCTACAAATAACTAGTAATCGTTACGTTATTAAAATAAAATGCCTTTATTAATCATAAACTGCTGTTAATCCAGAAAAATTGTTTTCAAACCTTTAGGTGTTCAGTCCACCCCCCGACACACACATT